GCAGCTCCTTTAATTGTTTGTTATTGTTATCACGATTATTCTTTAAAATAAAGTTATATAGTCATTAACGTTATTGAAACTGACAGCTGCTATACAGCTCGTTGAGAAATGAGGTTAAGTTGGTCGCTATAAGCTACTCCCTACGTCCAATGTGTCAGAGCCAACTTCGACCACGTTTTTATTTGAACGCTCGTTATAAAAATGCAAGGTAAAAAGGCAGGATGAAGACAAATTGCAATAATAATAACCGAGGAACGTCTCGAAATAGACTTATTTCTGAGCCACTTTTATTTTCTGGTGCATAAAAAGTCCATAGAATCTATCAATGTCCAAGACAAGGACTTGCTCAGTTTTGATCTGTGTAGAAGTATTACCACATTCATAAATATTGGACTTGTTTAACTTTGCTGTTGAATGGCCACGTTTTAATATATTGTACAGATATATATAACACTTGTTCAATTCTGCTCGAACAATAGGTTTTCATACATCCCTGTTTAAGGAGACCTGCCATCTCCGTCGACTTGTTTGATTTTTCATATTCTAAACTCTAAAAATGTAGCAACTGCAATGTATAGAAACATCTACTCACACAAAAACTAATATTGAGTTAGACGGTGGAAATCAAATTATAATACCGATGATGTATTTCCGCCCCAAAAATGCTGTAATGCCATATGACAATTCAAGGTCAAAGTTTGTAGGCAACCTAGTCCATTAGCGACCTTGGAAAACAACTCTATGGGCTACATACCATACTAGTATTGAATTACATCAATAAGGATGGGACCACAGTTTGTGAAATTATAGAAAACAGTTATGAAATCTGCAAAGTATCATTTAAATTCATTTAAAATATACAGGGTGTTTCGCATAAGAACCGATACAGAACAGGGGCATGGAACCCAAAATATGGTGATTTAACTGACTGAGAAGTTATAGGCCTTGAAAGTGGGGTTTCAAATTTCGAAAAAAATCAATATCTCAGTTATATTGAACTTACGAAAAGCAAATTTGGTACACGGTGTGAGTGTACCAAGAGCATTAATCGGCAGTAAGTACAGTTTAATTGAAGCATTTTAAAGGGTTGATAAAAAAGTCATTTCATTTTAGTAATTTTCGACGAAGAATATATTTATGTCTGAGAGAAATCAGTGATAATTTTGAACAATTTCTATAAGTTATCAGTGCTAATTGTATGTTATTTCTGTTGTTTAAGTTGTTTGTTTTTCTATTAAATTATTCTTATTCCAACTTTTTTCCTGATCGTCAAGTTTGACGTTTAAATTCATAACCAACTTTTAAATTTTCGATGATTTTAAATATGTAACACAAAAAAGACACATTTTTTTGAAAACTAACAAGAGTAAGAAAAGTTTTAGAATTAAATTCCCCATAAAATAAACTATTAATTTTTTATGTCCGCCAACGGGTTAAAAGATTCTGTCAGATTTTAATGGTGCATCATCCCTTATCCTTTAAAATGCTTCAATTGAACTCTACTTTCTGTCGATTAATGTTCTTGGTACATTCACGCCCTGTACCAAATTTGGTTTTTCTAAGTCCAAGTATAACTGAGATATTGATTTTTTCCGAAATTTGAAACTCCACTTTCAAGGCCTATAACTTCTCAGGGATGTAGCTTAGTATAAAAGTGAGGTGCCTTAAATCACCATATTTTGGGTTCCCCTGCATGCCCCTGATCTGTGTCGGTTCTTATGCGAAACACCATGTATTAATATTAGACAGTAGTTATTTAACACTGATTAATATTGTTATACTAATATTTCCAGTAAAGCACAGTAATTGCAAAATCAGTCCAGTTTTTTCAGAGTTATGTAACGAGCGTTCAAATAAAAACGTGGTCAAGTTGGTTCTGAAAATTTGAACGTAGGGCGTAGCGTATAGCAAATGAACTTAAACGTCATCTGTCAAAGCGCTATATCGCCGCTATCAATTTGAATATTTTCGTTTTAAAAAGCGTTTAAAATGGTGTTTTCTCAAGAACAAAAAGTGTTTATCATAGAGTCCTACTTTAGAAATGGACGCAAGATTGATGGAATATGGAAGTATTCTATTGAGGAATGTTTCATAGAATTTCAAAATCAATTTCCCGGCGTTGTTGAGTACAAAATTTTTCAAAGTGCAGTTCAGCGTTGTGTTAATGTTTTTCGTGAAACGGGCAGTGTAACAAGAAAAGAAGGAAGCGGCCGACCTAAAAAGCGGACTGAAGAATTAAAAGAAAATGTCCAACAAATAATGGAAAATGCGCCAAGAACTTCTGTACGTGTTTTATCACAAATGGTGGGAGTATCAGTCGGTACCTGCCACACAGTGTTAAAAAAAGATTTGCGTTTGTTCTCCTATCGTTTAACTTGTCAGCAAGAACTTCATGAAGTTGATTTTCCGCGACGGGCTGTATTTTGTGAATGGTTTTTAAACAACTACGGTGAACTTCATAATATCACCTTTTTTTCTGATGAAGCCTGGTTTCATTTAAGTGGTTACGTAAACTCACAGAATATGAGAATGTGGTCTTCTGAAAAACCAGATAACTTTTTTGTCGAGGGCCCTCTACACGCTCAAAAAATTGGAGTTTGGTGTGCTCTCAATCGAAGGAGGATTTATGGACCTATTTTTTTTAATGGTACTCTTACTGCGCAAAGGTATAGAGAAGAAATTATCGCTCCTTTTGTTAACCAGCTGGAAGAAAACGAAATTACAAACTTTTACTTTCAACAAGATGGCGCAAGGGCACATACGGCAGGCGAGACGATGAATATGTTGAGGGAAGTTTTCCAAAATCGACTAATAAGTCTCAATGCTGAACATGAATTTCCACCGAGGTCATGTGATATTACGCCGTGTGATTTCTTTTTGTGGCCTTACCTTAAAAACACTATTTTTGAACTGCCTATTCCTGATTTAAACCATCTGCAGGCTCGACTTATAGACAAGATTCGTGAAATTAACAATACCCCGAGCATCTTAGAAAATGTCTTTAATTCTTTGAGGAACAGGTGTGAAAAGTGCTTGGAACAAGGAGGGGGACACTTTCAGCAGCTGCTTTAATTTATTGTTATAACAAGGAGGGGGACACTTTCCGCAGCTCCTTTAATTGTTTGTTATTGTTATCACGATTATTCTTTAAAATAAAGTTATATAGTCATTAACGTTATTGAAACTGACAGCTGCTATACAGCTCGTTGAGAAATGAGGTTAAGTTGGTCGCTATAAGCTACTCCCTACGTCCAATATGTCAGAGCCAACTTCGACCACGTTTTTATTTGAACGCTCGTTATTATCTATACATTTTAATATCGGAAAAAATATTTTATTCAAATCAATTATTTCAAATACTAATAGACTGTTTTATTTGTTTCAGAAAGACATGGCTTAAGAGAACCTCATCGGATCGAACAACTTCAAATGAAAATAATTTCCTCTTTAAGAGACCACGTTACGTATAACGCCGAGGCACAGCGAAAGTCCCATTACTTTAGCAGACTTCTAGGGAAACTGCCAGAGCTTAGATCATTAAGTGTACAAGGACTACAAAGGATTTTTTATTTGAAATTAGAAGACCTCGTGCCGGCTCCTCCTTTAATTGAGAAAATGTTTGTGGCTAGCCTACCTTTCTAAGGAGTAATAGTATAAATTAATAATTCCAAAGTGATAAAGTATTTTATGTGATTTGATATAAATATACAGGTACAGATTTAAATTGTAAGATAAATATTCTTAGTGTTAAGTAGTTCAATTTCTTTTAATTGGCGTATTTAAAAATACTAATACAGAAACAGTGATTCCAGAGTTTATTCTATTTAAAAATTTGCTGTTGCAAAATATCTATCAAATTGTCAAAATTGTAACAATTTCTCTACCTGTTAAAATGCACTAAAAAAATAATTGGATATTACTTTTATGAGATATTTGTTACATTTTGTTGATATTTTTTTAAAAAACCTTCAAAATAAATAAATTTATATTATAATCTTATTTGATTTGATTTTTTTTCATAATTAAATTAATATAAGGTGTGATGGCCATTATAATATGTCATGTGTAATGTATTAGAAGAGGTTTTTGATAATATTAATAACTAAAGTCTAAGAATAAATCGTACTTGTCGTAATAATAGAGGACAGTATCTGCTCACATATATACTGCTGCTTTAGTGGTGAATAGTTTTATACCACGTGAAAGATGTTTTGAGTTAAAACATGTTTTCTGGAAGAAAACTATATATTTAAAAGTCATGTTTTCTTTCATGTGCTATAGACGTAATGAATAACGGAATTATGAGGAAAGTAGACTTTCTAATAAACAGTAGAAATGCGCAATTTTTCTATTGTCATATGATACCATAAAGAGCAAAATTATATATGCACTTTTTAATTTCTCTGTATTTTTCCTCACCACCATAAAATACTAAGCTTCTGCGATCACTATTTCAATTTTTGTGACTTAACAGTTTCCACCACCATTTGCTTTTAATTATAAATTCGAAAATAGAAGCAATAAATATTTCACTAAACATTCTGAGCTCCGCGCTAGACACTTCTAAAGTTAAAGAAAATTAATTATTGTACATTTTTAATATAATGTTTGACGTACGAGTAGTGTCGTTCTAGAGAAAAAATCAATTTCTACTGTTGTTATCAATTAAGGACAGGTGAGTTTTTAGGAGTATTTTAGTCTTACTCAACTTGATCTGATCTACAATTTAGATTGCAGTTCCGCGTAACGACATTTAAATGCTTGTATTGCAATAAGCGTTGACTTTCGAATAGAGATAAATTAATGCAAATCATAAAAAGACCTTTAACAAACATACAAATTTAGCAAAATATTGGAATTCCATTACATTAAAGTACTTCTGAATACCCATCTTTTCACAACTAATCACAGTGGTAAAAAGATAAAATCAATTATTACTTTGTTTTTAGTTCGCGACACGTTCTATAATGTGTATTTTCACATGCGATTTCTGTTAAGTCAAAATCTAATTCGAGAAATGAATTATAATAATATGCTACATTTTTATTAAATTAAATGGCGCCTTGATGTATGCGATATATCTAAAGTTGTATAAAACAATAAAAAAACTCACTCTTTCTAACACATTCACATCAAAATCATCAAAATTAATCCTGAAAAAAAGTTCCATTAAAATATTATAGAGGTAATACTATTATTTTAAAAAATGTTATTTTAACAAATATCTCATAAAAGTAAAGGACTTAATTTGAAACACCTTCTATATACGTGTTGGACAAACTTTCTGAACTGATTCCACTCGCAACGGAAACAAAAAAACAAACGTAACGATTTTCCTAAAATGATTCCTAAGGGTTCTACCATCCTTCAAAGATTTGACATGAAAAATAACACAACCACACAAAAAAAATTGTTTTTCGGGTCTGAGGATCAGACTATGTCTACTGCATGTTTTCGGGGTCGCTGAATCCGAATCCGTGATCCATTTTACCCTATCACATCAGGTTTTACCAATAACTCTATATAACTGCATAACCCAAGCTGTCAAATCCTATTACATACAACGATCCTGTAAAGGGCAGTGCACCCACAATAACCCTATAATCCTACACATTCAACCTCAAATCCCCTAACCCCATAACCGTATAATCCCATAACTGATAACTCCAATAACCAAGTTACTCAGTGGTTTGACTTAATCTCTAATCGCCGGATATATCAGGTCGCTATAAAGAGAATATATGTAACCCTATAATTCTCCAGCCTCATAACCTCATAAACTTATAATCCTATAACTCCAATAATAACGTTAGGCAGTACTTCGGTTGTTGATGTAAGAAACATATTCTATATCCTTATTGGATGCCAGTCTCATCTCCAGTAGATTCTCCATCAATTTCAAAAATATATTGCCAAATGAAGCTTTATTTCGCGGGGACCGCTTTCGTACTCTGACCCGCCGCTGATTCTGGGCATCCGAAACCCTATGTCGTACGTCTTCCACCTGTGCCTGCCATAATGGCATGAAAAGCATGATCCAGGGACCGGATTATTCCCCACCGTCACCGCGAGGAGGTGCTTTGGATGCAGACACAGTTAGGTTAACATACGAGAAATAGAGGCATAATATTTTTTAAATTGACGGAGAATCTACTTGAGATGATGAAACTGAAAGTCAATAACGATATAGACTCTGTTCCTTGCATCAAATATTCGAAATACTGCGTAACGGTTATTGGAGTTATGGGGTTATAGGGTTATGGGGGTTGAGGGATTATAAGGTTAAATATATTATGTTTATAGAGCCCTCATATATCCCGCGATGAGATATCAAATCAAATTACTGAGTTACGTGGTTATTGGAATTATCGATTATGGGTTTATGGGATTATACGGTTATGGGGTTAGGAGGTTTGAGGTTATATGTATGGGATTATAGGGTTATTGTGGGTGTACAGCTCCCTTTACAGGATCGTTGTGTGTAATAGAACTTGACAGCTTGGGTTATGAGGTTTATATGATGATGATATGATATTAGTAAAACCTAATATGATGGAGTTAAATGGATCACGGATTTAGATTCAGCGACCCCGAAAATATGTGGCAGATATAGTTTGACCTCCATATCCGAAAATCAATTTTCTTTTGTGTGGCTGTGTAAATTTTATCAATTATTCGAGAATCATATTGGCGATATATACTACAAACTTATTACAGTCAAGTTCCCTACACGTCGGAATTAAAGGAATTTGAAAGACAAAAAAATAAGTTTAACATCGCAGATAATCATCTTTTACATATTTGTATAAACCGTTTTTTCATAAAATGCAACGTTCGAGGTTAAATGTCCTAAAACTAGACTGTACCAAGTTCGATTTCCCTACCTTCCATGGTTCGTCATCAAAAAGTTTTACTATCGTTTCTTTTTGTTTATTTTGTCTGTCTCTGTTACACCCTTTTATTCAGGGTGCTGAATTTTTAAATTGCCAAATTGTAGAAAATGATAGATCTTTGAAAAATAATGGTGCATTTTCATACAAACTTTAAAGATATATGTATTTAAATATCTCCGAAAGTAATGTAGTTATTCAAACTTTATTTGGAATACATATTGCTGAGATGAGTTGTCACAAAATGGTATCGACCTGACCGAAGGATCAGTTTTGTAAATATGGTCAACCGCCAATTTAACAAAAATATGGAAAATCTTTTCAGATCCGTTCTTTCATCATCCACAAAAATAATCCTTTATATTTCTTTCAGTTTTGCTATGGTTTCATAACAATTTTAATTTCTTAATTTAAAAAATGTGAAAGGATTTCTAAGAGTATTGTAGTTTTGGTTGGTAAAGTCGATGTTAACTGAAACACACTTTGTGTTAAACTCATTTATTATTCTAATAATAGATTAACACATACAATTGCTGAGGATGAAAATGTATTACCATTTCACAATTCGTCCGAAAGTCTTTGACCGCAATATTATTTTTTTGAAAAGTTGCAAATAAAACTCAACCGCAGTAGAATATGATTTATATATAAATTATTATTTTTGTTAGCTTCAGAATACTAATATGTAATAAAGATTTTGGTACTGTTAATATGAGATTTCCATGGAAGTTCGACGGTTCAATAGTAAACAGCACTTATATCACTCAAAACGTAATGCCTTTTCTGTAGTTTTGTTCTCTTTTCTTTTTAATTGTGCGTTACTAAGCTGTATTTTGCTGATTAGTGTACAGTTTGTGTAAAGGGTATGCTGGAGTAAAGTGGTAGAATATCAAGGAAAATTCCCTGATCAAATTATTTCAATGCGAAATAGGTTTATTTTTATCCATAGATCTATAAGATAAAAACTAGCCATCTGTTTTAGCGTGCTGTAACAAAAATAATTACTGTTTTAAACTAATAAAAAATAAACACATCAAAATTGCCATAAAATCATAGGAAAACATATTAAGCATATTTTTTGAGAAAAATTAAAAGGCACATTCGATTTGCTTTGCCTTTGGTTTCCTACGGAGTCGAACTACTCTTTTTTAATTTAATCCATATTTCTACTACTGGATCTATGATACGTATACCAAATATGGTTTTAATTGCTTCATTGCTGCATATCTTTATTTTTTTACAAATTTTAATATCATGTACTTTTCTCAATGCTTTTTAACACTTATCAAAGTGGAACGTAGATAGCATTATATTATTAAATAACGAATATTTTTCAGGTGTTTTCCCCAATCGGTAGTCTCTGCCAACTACCCGGTTCTGGCAAGTCTGAAAAGTCCTTCCGAAGCCCCAAATATATAAAGTTTATAGAACAAGATGTCATTATTTTTCAATAACTGTTTCCTAAAGATTTTTCAATATGTATATACAAGGTGTTTACGTAACGTAAGAGAGTAGTCATAGTAGGAATCAGGTTTATCGCTGCACTTTGAAAAAAAATCTTAGCTAATGTCCAAGACCAATCGCTAAAATTTATTTCCCCAATTCATTATAAAATCGTGTAATAATCAATTACAAATCTTAATTAACTTATTTAATTAAAATTTTGATTATACAGGGTGGCCAAATGAAAACGAAACAGAGCCATTTTCAGGAACTGCGTCAAGATTGTAGAAAAACGCTCAGATCCGTCGA